ACGATATTTTCATCAATATCAGAGTGCTCCCTACACTTAGTAAATTCAAAAAGCAATTTAAAAGTTATTATACGAGCTGAACACAACATAAAACACGACCCCCTGGAAAAGCAGCTGCTATAAGATAAATTACTGTGCATAATTTAGCTTTAACTGTATATAAATTATATTAATTTAACTAGGGTATTTATTATTTTATTTTGTATTTAGTTGTAAGCTGAAATGATTTTTGTGTATAAAGAATATAAAATGAAATTGAAATGAAATGAATTTCAACTTTCCGTGAACTGGCATTCTCTGTTTACGGCCAATTGTGCAATTAGGGGTCTGGACCAGAGTACCCCAGTCTAAAAATAGAATTTAGGGACAAATTATGAATTGGTTCTGTATAACATCTTTTTTGTTTTGTTTAAATGTCTTTTTATTGTGAATTTCAACTTTCTATGACCTGGCGTTCTCCGTTTATGATCAGAGGTACAATTAGGCACAAACTGGCCTTGGTTTTCGCAAGTACTACCTAATTTCAAACTCTGATTAAACACACTTTTGCTGGTCAAATTATGACAATTTTGGTGTCAAACGTATCGAAAAAGATGGAAAAATTTAACTCTTAAAAAAAAGCAGGACATAAAATTTCGCTGCATATACACTTTAAGAAGCTTCTAAAAACAATTTTTTCGTGATGTTGAAAGATTTGAAGGGTGTTCGTAAAAGTTGCTGCAAATGGGTGTAGCCTGAAAAAAGCCAATCGGCGTACATATAGCTTGGTCTCAGCCAATCAAGTAACAGAATAGCCCAGATCTTGTCAGCAGTTTCACAGATAATGTAAGCAATTGCATTCTATAAGGACATATTTCCCTTGAGGCATGATTTCTTGGAAAAGTTGCACTTGCAGCTAGCTCTAACTGCATTTGTGTAATCTTAATTTGCATACACGTTTATTATTTTCAAGGAATCTACCTCGTAGCCGAGTTTTTTGAAATACCTGATTTTTGGACCTCTTTTATTGAATTGAAGTTATGAAAGTTTTTTAAAAGTTTAATTCAACTACACATAAAAGTTGCACAAGTGCAATAAAATCCTGTATAAGTGTTGTTGGATTCTTAACTGTGGCTAGAGACAAAGTGAAATACAGAAAGAAGATAGAATAACTTTTAATATATGGAAAAGTGAAAATTCAACCAAGAAGAACAATGAATCGCTGGAAACAACACAAAGAGATATACTATTTATGTCATTTTTAACTCCAAATTAAAGGAACTGGCTTCTTAACTCTTGATTGTTTGCAATGATAAAAAAATTCAACGATGGAAAGTTCCTTAGGGGTTTTGTCTTTCATACTAACAGTTCTTTCATTTTTTCTATCTTCTGCTGCCCCATGCAATTCATTTAATTCGTCATCGTGCCAATCTACTTGAAATAATCACAAATTATTTAAAATGCAGTTTTACAGGAAACAAAATTAGCAACAACCCAAACAAAAACTTATTCGATAACTTTGTCTGCACCTTCGTCTGATTGTAGACAAATTCGATTTTACAAATTTTAATGCATATCAGTAAAAAACTATTGTCAAGTTCTAAAACTGTGAATTTTCTTGATTACTGCTTTGTTTTGATCGCATCAAACACTTTTACCCTTTCATTTTCCTTTTGCCGAAAAGAGATGTCTCAATCATTTCAGGGTTTAATTTAAGTTTACTTTAAGTAAAGAGAAAAGAGGCCTGTTGAAATTTATAATCATCGTTTTTCTAATTTGCCTTGGTGTAGCCAAATTGGGGAGATCGGGAGGGCAATTAAAAATCTGACAACAAGGGGTACGGGGATTTTCGCAGACCAGACCCTTAAAAATTTAGGAAAACGCCCAAGTTGGTAATTGTGTTTGAGCATAATGAAGAGGTTTACAATACTACAAAAATCTTCCCTAACATCGATGTCCCCTTTACGGACAAATTGGTTTTTATCAGGGGCGTCGAGGCGAATGAAATCTAGAAGGGGCCAGAAAGAAAAATTTTCTGATAAAATTTTTTCGAATCATTTTAATCTAATAGAAGCATTTCATGTAAGTTTTAAAGGGACAAAAATACTCGTAGCATTTGCAGTAACTGGAAAGAACGCGCTTTGTCATATCTCTTTACTTCAGTGTGGTCAGAACGAAATTCATATTGGGAGGGCTGCCCAGTTGAAAATTGAACTTTGAAAATTGAAAATTGGAGAGTTGAAAATTGTTGAGAAAAAATGCAATTTTTTTCTTTACGTTGCCCCTGTAAATTCGTATCAGGGCCAAGTCCAAGCAATTTTTTTCTCAATTTACATTTATATTTATAACTATAACTACTGGGGAAAAATTTACCAATCAACTTGGATGGTCCTTGACCATCGAGGATCATCGCGGACGAATTACGATATATGAAAACCAGCCTCTAAAATGATTAATATCGTCGTTTTCATCGTCTATCAAGTTTGATACTGAAGGTTTCTTGATATACAGGGGCGAAACTACCGGGGGGTGTGGGGGGTGTAACACCCCCCCAATCCAAAAAATAGTCGATTTCGCAGGGCAATCGAAGATTTCGCAGGGCGCCAAGAACGGAACAGGTATGTAAGGAAAAGCTCCGTTATGCATTTTAGAGAACGGAACAGGTATGTAAGGAAAAGCTCCGTTATTTGCAAAGCGAAAGCATTTCTTACTGAAAGTCATAGCCAATGGATGCAATGATTGATGCATATGTTTATGAGGGCAAGGTTTAGTCCATACAAGTTAATTTAAGTTGTAAATTATTTTCATGACAAGCACGGCGTCACTGGAGGGGAATAAGAGGCTGAAGGCCCACATTTTGGTAAAGATAGGAATTTTTTATCATTTTTTCTATTACTTTTTAACAGTGCAGGAACTAAAAAACATAATAAATCGTTAAGATACCGATTTTGTTTCATCTAATTGCTAACTTTTTCACGTACATTTTTATTATTTTTCTTTTATTTGCATTAATTCAGTAAATAACTTTCTGTATCATTGCAATGTTTTAATTTTGGATGCGTAAACATGGCCTTCTCGATACAAGAAACTGCACATTTCTGTTCAGGAAATAAAATTCCCCCAATCAAAACAACATCTTCCTCTGTCATTCACAACTACGTGCAATCTGGAACGAAAGGTTGCCGTTCCTTTCCTTCCCCAACGTCTAACACTAGAGTTTTAGCATGACACCCCCCTCCCAATTTTTCCCAATAAACAATAATATTTTCAATAAACAATCAGTTCTTCTAGCACAATAGTATTTTGCTAAATTTTTGTCTGAAAGATGCTTTTTAGCCCTTTTACAAGGTATAATTTCAAAAATTTTCTTCACTAAACTTGATTCTTACCCCCACTGGGCTAAATTTCGTTGCGCTGTCTACATCATGTACCCCCCCCCCCCGCAATTAGCTGTTTGTTGGCTTAATTTTGCAAGCCAATATTAAATGAAGTGAATATAAAAAAAACAATTTACGCTCACGTAGAGAAATAGATATTTCATAGGCAATGAAGTTTCAAGTTTGTTTTTATTGCTTAGAAGTTTGTCCTTGGTAAAGACCAGTGTCATTGGTAAAGCTTTCACTATTAACCTATAGACAAACCGTTGCTACGAGGTCTGCAGGGCACCACTCAGTTTTGCAGGGCAGAAACCCTTTTCACCCCCCCCCCAAACCTATTGGCCAAGTTACGCCCCTGTTGATATATTTACATTTTCAGCAGTCAGAGATTCTTTCATGTTTCTTGAGAGTTTAATAACAATCTTAAGAATTATATATGAATCAAAAACCTCTTGTGGCTTTTGCTTTAAACATCCAAAAGACTTGTCAACAGTTGTCCAAAGATTGATTTGTTCAAAAGTTCAAATAAAATGTCCGAAAATATTTTCGCCGAAGTTTATTGTTCAGAAACTTTCTCCAGAAAAATTTTTTGTATTTGTATATTGAATATTGTCACCATATGATTTTTGGAGGTGCTTAATCCAAACATGAAAAGAAAACAGACCACTTTTCAGTGTTGAAATGGTTTTCTTTCAAATTCAATGTTAAATTGCTTAGCTCAAAGCGGTAATTACTGGGACAAAGTTTGAGTGATTTTTGGTGAGTTTGGGTGAGTCTGGATGGTACTTGTGCGACGAAAAGCTTGTTGGTCTCCCTTCAAGACTTCAAATGATACAGCCATATGACTTTTAGACATTGTTTCATACGCAAAGGTGTTGTTATCAGCTGTAAATCCGCTCAAGCTATAAGAATGATAAATTGCAATATATTTTATAGAAATGGGTTATTCTATTTTCAGCTGATCCAGCCAAAGCTCAAGGTACTTACAAAATAAGCAGGGATTTTAATTGATACATTTTCTCTTGTGTTAACAAAACAGAGCTGATTTTTTCACGAAATGAACAGTGCTTCTAAAAATGTCATGCTGAAGAGCCCATTATGGAAATAAGGTCAGCTAGACCTATAAATGCTATCCCGAGTGCTATCCCTGCCACTAACATTAGGGGTGTCTATTATTATTTTTAATGTAAATTATTGCATTATATTCTTTTTAACTTTTATAAGTTGTAAATACTTTTAGTGTGGCGAATCATACATACATGCCTACATTGTCATTCTGTGAATTCAGAAAGTATTTATAGATTGCAGATATAGACAAATCAATTTTCAAACAAGAAAGATATTAAGAACATACGTGCCTGAAATTATCCAAAAAATCGAGCTTCGGTCAAGAACATCGAGCTTCGGCCAAAATTATATTGTTCTTATAAAAAAATTAAAAGTAGGCAAGACAGAGTCAAATAATAGCAGCCGGTTGTTGATTCAAGACTAAAGCAATGCAAGACTAAAAAACCTGTCTATACAGAATTGCAACTAAACGTACTCAGTGAGAAATCAAACACGGCTACTATTGACTCCCCCCACTCCCCTTCAAATTTTCAATGGATCTGCCCCTGTTCTGGCCTCGTTCCCTTATCAGAATTGGTTCGCCTCTCTTTGACCCCAGGTTAGTCGAATACAAAATGGAGGTGGATAATAAATTGTCACAAAATTGAAATACATGATGGCAAAAATAAACAGACCGACACCAGAATTTGATGAAAATCCATATTTGGAATCGTTTGAAAGCTTGACCCTAGATCTAGGGCCTGCGGAGACCGTCCACCATTGGGCAAAACTCCCAGAGTGCGATGAGTTCGTTGGCTCAAGGTATTTCTCGTTGAACAGTACATAAACTATCGCAGATTTTGCCTACGTTATGTCGTAATACACAGCTATATATTCAGCATGTGCTCCTTTTACTTGGGCCGAATGAATTTCTGGTTTCTTTGATATTTCATTTATACTATTTCATACGTTAATTTAAAGATAAATTCTCTAAAAACCAATTGCTTTGCTGCTGGTACATGATGCATTGCATAGATAAACAGAATGCAACTGATCCACAACCTTTGACCCTTCAGTGTGCAAATCAAAATCATGCTTAATTTTTATATTTGAAAGGGATTGTTTGGCAAGGTGTTCATATTTTTTTCAAAATTTACCTTAGTGAAATACACAAGATGAAAGGCACTGCTCAGATGTACTTATCAATAAGACAAAAGGCCGTTTTAGGGTGACCATCCAGCTGATTTGTCTAATTGTAGGCCTGTATAATTTGCATTTCCTGCTTATTGAGGTTGTAAACATATGCATAGAGGCAGCGGGCTAGTCACAATGTGAGTGTTATTAGTGAAAGAATAAATATTTCCAGCGCTTGCTTTGATACTGGTCATAAACTAGCAATGTAAAAGGGAAACCTCACTAGTGAAATTGTTCTATTTGATCAGCTGTCTGTTTTCTTTTATTTTTGCAATGATTTGGCAATGGTGAAGTGAGTTGAACCCCCTAATTTTTAAATTGTTTTGATCCTTTCTTGAAAATGACTCCTAGGTTTATCGTAATGCATTCATTAGATGGTTGCTAACAAATTCCACAACCAAGACCTTAGAATATTTCTATAAGGTTTTTTTATCCTAATATGAATTTCCCTAACTGACATTCTTTGTTTCTTTTTGTACACATAAAGTGACTTTTTGTGTTGTTCTGTAGATCCAACAAATGTGGTCTTCCCATTAGCTAGACCACTTCTAATGTCAAGATTCCTCTGTTTGCTTCTCCATTTCTGTGGCTTATCCCATTTCTAGTTTAGGCTAGAGGTGCTTTATGGAGACCAACAGAAAAATACATATTTTTGGCTGACCACATGTGATTGCAGGAGATCTTTCTGAATTGAGCTTTTTAAGATATCAACCTAACCTTGCTTATGCGAAAAAATTGTATGTTAAAATATTCTCAAAATCTTGATTTGATTATCAAAACTGTATTTTGGCACTTATGTCAAATGAAAATGTATGTAATGCTCTGGTTTTGTACAATCAAGGAGTATTTATCAAAAACCTATATGTGCTTACAAAGAAGACTTCTATCTACTTTGTATATGCCAATCTTAAAAGTGCTTCAAAAGGGTTTGTTGCCAGGATGGCTCAGTTATTAGAGGCGCTGACTACAGACCCAAGGGTCCATGGTTCGAGTCCCTGACATGACCAAACAATCACCCAGAGTGGGGAGAGTCGCCCGCTCTCTGCAATTCCAGGCATAGGAATCACGAGGTGTGGTCACATCGAGAGGAAGGACCAGGTCACTGTTTGATAAGCATAAGCTTCTCAGTGTCCTGAAAAAAACTACCTTCGGATGCTAGGTAGAAACATTCAAATACACATGCAAATAACATCTAACCGTGAAGCTACAGCTTAGGGCAACTGTAAGATGATGAACTTTATCTGCATGTCACAGGCCTGACAAGACAAAGACTACCATTGTAATTGGAAGACTTTATTTGAGGCATGCCTTTTGGATGTTATGTGTGGTAGACATTCTAATTGTTTTAATGAATGTTGTTTTGGCAAAATTCTGAAAGAAAAATTGCTCAATTTTATTAATAACTAAGAAAACTGTGGAGATTAAAAAATGCATGTTTTAAAATCTTTCAGAGCTAAGTATCAAAATAAAAAATTAGCTATCACTCATCAAATGATATTCAGAAGGGAGCTTGGCATTAGACCATATTGCTCCAGAGATCAAGTGTTCCTCTGCCCTTGGCCATAGTCCCCCTTAAGGCAACAATGTCTTCAATTTGCAGCATGCTGTCTTGATGTAGATTATATAGAAAAAGACAAAGCAAATTTTGAAAACAATTATTAAAAAAAGAGTGTGATTTCAAAACTAAAGCCTTATCCACGACCTTAATACTGTTTATAATCTCTATAGCAGTTTATAATCTCCCCCATTGCTCCTGAGTAGGGGTTCATCTATTGTTAAGGCTTTCTTTTCTCATTTAGGCATGAGCAAAATCATTGCGAACCTGACGTATTCTTCTTTGGTTCTTTCCTTTCTTCATTGCTTTCTTCATTGCTTCTTTGTTGCTTCATTGCTTCTTTCCTTCTTTGCTTCATTGTGATTATAGCTTACTGACTTTTTATGTCTGGCATTGCTTGATTTCCATGAAATGTGGTAATGCCCTCATTCCACCATCATACATTTCCTCTTTGAGACTGTAGTCTACACCAGGCAATTTCCAATGCCTATGGTAATTAATTTCTATAGCGACTACCTATGACAAAAAGTATCCAAACTCAAGACAGTGGGCATCATTTATTGTTGTGGAGTGATCCATGTTATTTTGAAACCTGCACTTTGTTCAGTGTCACTAATTTTCAAAATTGGTCTTTATTCTTCTTAACCATTTCTCTGTACCCACAGTAAAACCAATCTTTTTAACACACTTTCTTGAAATGCCTTTGATTGCCAAAGACAAAGTTTGTTTACCTTTGCAATGAAGCATTGAGTGAACTACAAATTGATGATTGAAATATCTTGCTCAAAATACAGTTGGCCTGTGTGGTTTTACATCATGTGCCCAAAGCTATATGTAAAAATATATATGTAATAATGAGCAATAAAAGCTATATGTAATAATCAGCTATAAGTAAAAATAAACTTCTCTTTTGGTGAATATTGAAATATTTTCATTTTTTGAGCCCAAATGGTGCAAACAATGCGAGTAACCAACAAGCTTTGTTTCCTTCGTAGGAGAAGCAAGCATACAGTAGTTGCTTGGGGTGATGCATTGTACATATTTGGAGGAGATAATGGGTAATGAATTACTTTTAGAAGTACCATATTTAACAAAAATTTTGCTTTCGCATTGCTGCCCTTAAACCTTTTATATAATTTCTTAAATTTGCTGTGATCAATGATGTCTGGAATTCTCCTTGTTTTTAGAAAGAGAATGTTGAATGACCTTCTTCGGTTCGACCTGAAGGACTGTTCCTGGGGACGTGTTGTGACAACAGGGTCACCCCCAGCCCCACGATATCATCACTCGGCTGTCGTCTTTGCAAACAGCATGTTTGTTTTTGGAGGCTATACAGGTATGCACAGTATAAACAATTGAATACAGGAATTGTAGAAATAATTTGTGGCCCATTCACGTAGGTTACAAGAAATTCTGCCAATGTGTAGCTTAGCACATGATTTTGTTTGGTACACAACACATCTGTTTGACTCATCTGATTGCTGTATGTACAATAGAATCTCGTTATAACATACTCGGTTGTTACGTACTTTCTGATTCATGTACTGGTGTGCTTGGTCCCGGCAAAAGGTGTGCTTGCTTTTAATCAATTTTTACTTAGTACCCTAGTTACAACATACTTTGGATATAACATACTTAATATGCCAGTCCCTTAAAGTACGTTATAACCAGATTATACTGTATTATTTTGTAGCGACAGGTAGTTCTCTCCAATTTTAGCTGAACAAATTTATTTGAACTAAGGTCCCTTATTGTTGACTCTATTTTCAAGGTCAAGAGCGATGAAATTTTGTATAAGCATCAGATAGGTCGGGTGACCTGGTTTAGCCTGTTTTGATAAAACTATTTGATGAACATGTTTAAATTGCATTCGGTCTTAGTAGTCTGGTTTTTCCTTGTTTGAACTAAATGCAATTATGTAATAATACTGTTAGAAATAATTGTATTGAGCAATAATATCCACAGAACTTAAGCTTTTTTGCTCTTAAATGCTACAGATTTAATTATAAAGCCAAAATCTATTATTTAGGATTCTGAAAAGTATCTTTCTTTTGTTTCAACACAAAAATTTGATCCAAAAATTGAATAATTTTTTTATTTTTTTTGCATCAGAGGTAGATAGCCTCTTTGGCCTGAATAATTTAAAACAGTCTTTTTTCTCATTGCTCCATATTTATTCTTCATTTCTTTTTCTAGGAGATATTTATTCAAACTCCAATTTACGAAACAAGAATGATTTATTTGAATACCGCTTCAACACAGGACAGTGGTTGGAGTGGCAACTTCATGGAAGGTTTGTGCAGAATTTTTTCTCTCTTTTTCCTCTTTTTCCAAAATTTATCTTATGGGTCTTGCACTAAGCAAAATGAAGGTGCTCCATAAAACGAGCTACTAAAAAACTCAAGATGCTCTATTTCACATTTCTATGTAAAATTTCCATTTGCAAAAATTTACGTTTTTTCTTAATAAAATGTGTCAAAAGTTTTGCTTCCAAACGAAAACGTTGTATTTTCAAATAACATTGCGTTGTTAAATGATTCAACTCTCAAATTGTTTTTATATGTTTGTATGTTCTATGCATGGAAAATAACGTGTTCATTCAAAAATTATTCTTGTAAACATGGCCTTAAAACAAACCAGATGCAACATCTAGTCGTCAAAAACTATTGCTATAAACTCTTGTATAAATCTTCCAGCTAAAAATATTTCAGTTAATTGAGAAGATTGTTCAAGTTTTATCAACATTAGTTCCAAAAAATGTTTTGCTGCAGGGCAATATCATTTTGCATTTTAGGGCGCTCATTAGATTGCTCTCTTTGGCTATTTTAGGTGCGCTTTAGGCACTGGCACTTAATCAAGTGCCTTTTCCGGCAAGGCCTGCAATTAAATCAATCTGCTTCACCCAGAATAAATCCCCCTAGCATTCTTTGTTTTATAACTATATGCTTTGATGATAGAAGTTTCCTTGAATAACAGATCTTTTAGGGTGTAAAGGATTTTTACTTGCTTTATCTGACTTGATAAAGCATTACTGAGAATTTTTCAACAATTTTTAAACATCTCTTGATGCAACATGTATCAATGGTCATTTCCAGGTTCTACTTCTTCCTCTTCTTCTTCAACTTCCTCGTCATCAACAAATAAACACCCAGCTCAGCACCAGCTTCTTCTCCCTCATCCTCGTCCCCTTAAGTATTCCAAATATTATATGAGCTGCACTGATCAATTTAAAGACACTCCTTAATTTGTCTCAAGCAACACATTACAAGCATAGTTATATGAAAGGCAAGAGATAAAAATTGGTGAGCAAATTAAGTCTTCTTTTTGGACCATTAGACTACCATTACTTATACAAAGAAAAGCAAAATTTAATATTTCAACTTAAATAATTTTTAAAGACATTCCCACCCTTTGCTCAAGTTCTTTTGTAAAGCACTTTTCTGTTTGCCATAACTTTATTTTTTATGTAACGAATAAGAAAAAGGTTATCTGATTAGTGCTATTTACCAAAACAAATGTTGCTGCAATGAAAGATTGCGCTCCTGGGAGCTGTAAGTGCATGTTTAAATGCGCTCGCATGATTGCGCGTTATTCAGGATCAACCCTGATTAATTGTATCAATGTTCTGTTGATTGTTTCCTGAAAAATGATGTGTCCAGGAAGGATCAACTATCTTCCTCACTTGTTTTTGTGCTCTCCCCTGTAATCTCCTGTTCAATAATCTATGTTTTTGTTACTGTTTTCTGTTTTATTTCGTTTGTTCTCTTGTCTTCTTGTCACTTCTTCTTTGCTCTGTTCTCTTTGTCTCTTACATTCTAGTCTTTTCCCACTCTTTTCCATTCTGTTCTGTTAACTGCATCCTGTTTTCTGTTTCATTTTGTTTGTTCTCTTGTCTTCTTGTCACTTCTGCTTTGCTCTGTTCTCTTCGTCTCTTACATTCTAGTCTTTTCCCACTCTTTTCTATTCTGTTCTGTTAACTGCATTCTGTTTTCTGTTTCATTTTGTTTGTTCTCTTGTCTTCTTGTCAGTTCTTCTTTGCTCTGTTCTCTTCGTCTCTTACATTCTAGTCTTTTCCCACTCTTTTCTATTCTGTTCTGTTAACTGCATTCTGTTTTCTGTTTCATTTTGTTTGTTCTCTTGTCTTCTTGTCACTTCTTCTTTGCTCTGTTCTCTTCGTCTCTTACATTCTAGTCTTTTCCCACTCTTTTTTCCATTCTGTTCTGTTAACTGCATCCTGTTTTCTGTTTCATTTGTGTTGTTCTCTTGTCTTCTTGTCACTCTGCTTTGCTCTGTTCTCTTCGTCTCTTACATTCAGTCTTTCCCACTCTTTTCTATTCTGTTCTGTTAACTGCATTCTGTTTTCGTTTCATTTCGTTTGTCTGCATCCTGTTTTCTGTTTTATTTCCTTTGTTCTCTTGTCTTCTTGTCACTTCTTCTTTGCTCTGTTCCCATTCGTCTCTTACATTCTAGTCTTTTCCCACTCTTTTCTATTCTGTTCTGTTAACTGCATCCTGTTTTCTGTTTCATTTTGTTTGTTCTCTTGTCTTCTTGTCACTTCTTCTTTATTCTGTTCCCATTCGTCTCTTACATTCTAGTCTTTTCCCACTCTTTTCCATTCTGTTCTGTTCACTGCATCCTGTTTTCTGTTTCATTTTGTTTGTTCTCTTGTCTTCTTGTCACTTCTTCTTTGCTCTGTTCTCTTCGTCTCTTACATTCTAGTCTTTTCCCACTCTTTTCTATTCTGTTCTGTTAACTGCATCCTGTTTTCTGTTTTATTTCCTTTGTTCTCTTGTCTTCTTGTCACTTCTTCTTTGCTCTGTTCCCATTCGTCTCTTACATTCTAGTCTTTTCCCACTCTTTTCTATTCTGTTCTGTTAACTGCATTCTGTTTTCTGTTTCATTTTGTTTGTTCTCTTGTCTTCTTGTCAGTTCTTCTTTGCTCTGTTCTCTTCGTCTCTTACATTCTAGTCTTTTCCCACTCTTTTCCATTCTGTTCTGTTAACTGCATCCTGTTTTCTGTTTCATTTTGTTTGTTCTCTTGTCTTCTTGTCAGTTCTTCTTTGCTCTGTTCTCTTCGTCTCTTACATTCTAGTCTTTTCCCACTCTTTTCCATTCTGTTCTGTTAACTGCATCCTGTTTTCTGCTTTATTTTGTTTTTTCTCTTGTCTTCTTGTCACTTCTGCTTTGCTCTGTTCTCTTCGTCTCCTACATTCTAGTCTTTTCCCATTTTTTCCATTCTGTTCTATTTCCTGTTCCCTGTATCTTGGTCCCTGTTTCCTGTTTCCTATTTCCTTTTCCCTGTTCCCTGTTTTCTGTCCCCTTTATCCTGACCTCTTTCCCCTGTTTCCTGTCCCCTCTTTCCTGTCCCCTTTTTCTGTTTTCTGTTCTTTGTTCAATTAGTGATTGTTTCCGTGTCCGTTTTGACAGCTTAAGTCATCATCATTTAAATTTTGTGTTTAGGATTCCAGTGGCAAGATCTGCACATGGGGCCGTTGTCTACAAGAACAATATGTGGATATTTGCTGGTTACGATGGCAATGCAAGGTATTATCGATTTCTATTCAGGTATACATCGTAATTCATTGCGGTTCATCGCAGTTCATCGTAACTCATCGGAATTCATTGCAATTCATCGCAGTTCATCATAATTCATCGCTGTTCATCGTAATTCATCGTAAATCATCGGAATTTATCGCAGTTCATCGCAATTTATCATCGTGTTTCCTCTGATTTGCTCTTTCGCTATCATGTGTAGCCCTTGTAGATATCAAATGTAAAATATAGTAAAGCACTAATAAACTAAGGCAACGAACAATATAAAAAGCAAGATATATAATATAGATGAATACACTAAAAATATTAAATCAGAAGGCACGAAGTTATGATGTTTAAGATATGATTGAATTTTGTGTTGCTTGTTTTGATATGTGATATTTCTCTGTGTTTACGAAAAAAACTTTCTATTGATTACGCCTTCAAGGCACATTTTTGATGTGGAATGCTTAAACCCTTTTTAGGCTCAATGACATGTGGAACATTTGTTTATCCGATCCATCACCGAACTGGCACGAGGTAACAGTCCTATCTCAGTGTATTTTCGATTCGATTTACCGTGCCGATTGTGTAACCTAGGGCATCAATGTGTTTTTGTCTCTTGTGAAGACATGATTTTTTCATGGTGGTGGGCATTAAAAAGAAGCATTATTACTTTCTCTTCTACGTAATCTAAAATGCCTGCAAAAAATACTACTTGGAATATCAAACAACTTGCGTTGCCTCTCGATATTTTTTCATTTCTCTTCTTTGATGTCATTACTTCCATACCTTCCTCCGGAATAATGTTGATAATTTTGTCAAAAAGCTAGCAAATGGCTTGAAAACACCTATTTCTAATCCCTTACGTCATTTTATATAGAGAAAAACTGTCTCAAGGAGCAAGATGGGTGGCTGAGTCTTATGAGTGAAATCGAGGCATTTTGTCTTGACTGTTAGGCTTGGCCGTAAAAAGCGCAACTGCATGTCTAAGTGGACTGCAGAGTTTGGCCCTGATCAACTGTATGATTCCCTGACCAAATGATTTCAACATCAAGTTGCTTGAATGATAACAAGATGCTAAAAGCCAATAGAAAGATAACGAAGATATTAAAGGCATTGAGTCATGATAAATAGACTGGGTATACCCTAAGTGCCAAATGACCCCCTATAGAGAAAGCCTATTTACCATGACTCAATGCCTTTAATATTAAAAATAAATTTGCTTCGAATGATAAAAAAGCGTTTTTCCGCCCTGAAGTGAGCCCAGTGGACTAACTCGCTCCAGCTTTTTTGCAAGCTTTTCTCGCATATCGTAACAGAGTGGAGAGCAACAATTTGCAGTTGCTAAGCTCAGTTAGTTTAGTCAGGTGGTGCGAAATGCGCTGTTGTTGTTGCTATGATTCCGCGCCATCTCTGTTCATTGCTGATGTTACTGCAGCTGATAAGCTTTCCCTTGACCAGGCTGAAATATCTTTAAACTAAGGTGTTGTTGGTCCTCCGCGTCTTTTTAACCTTGCTCTGCCTGAATCAATGTCTTCTCTAAACCGCTTCTCTTCATCCAATGACCGAAATAACGCATTTCCCGTGCACTGATCTTCTTACGAAGTGTCATATTGATACAAATTTTTTTCAAAACCCAACTAAGCTAAGCTATGGGGTGTTATATCCAGAAAATTCTTTTTTGCCATTTTCCTTCTAAAATCCTCATCGTTCAATGTCCATTTTTATCAGTTGGTTGGGTGCTCATACTCAGTCTTTATTCTGCAGGTCCAGCAACAAGGCAAGAGGCCGCCTACTTGCTGCAATTTTCCAATCACAGTTGCCAAGGACAGTATGTATGTGTTTTCAGGGCAAAGTGGCGCAAAAATCACCAATGATCTGTTCCAGTTCAACTTTGCAGAGAGAAGGTTAGTTGATATCCCTATCTTGTTTTCTCTTATTCGCTACGACAATTCCATGCAAAGAAGAACCTACCTGGTCAAGAGTGATACTGTCCTTAAGTTTTACATGTAACGTTAAACCAGGGTTGCAGACTAAAGGTGCTTTTAAGAATCCCTATCAAAAGATGCACTTCGATGATGAACTTGGTCTTTGAAGTTATTCCTGTTGATACGTGTGACTCCTCCTGATAAAAGCTGCTTCTGAAATGGGAATTTAAGATCGCTCAGGCTAAAATTTGATTTTAAAAATAAGATGCTTAATCGATGAACGACAGTGTGTAGGTTCCTAACTTCAAAGTTATTTTTTACGTAATGTACTCTTTTATAACTCAAATGCTTAACTAACATGTCCACTTTAATCTACATCTCACGCTTGCTTCCTTGTTAGAAAGTCTAAACTCACTGAGCAAGCAAAGTGCTTTTCCAGTTCTGCGAACAATCCAAAAATTCCTTTTTGGAATCCGCCTACATAACTACAGATTAGTATCGAGATTCAAATAAATTAATTGTTCATAACAAGTTAATTTCTGTATATAAAAAGTTCAAGTGACCCCCTGTTACTCTAACCGATCAAGAGTATCGTATCGTATCGTATCGTATCGTATCGTATCGTATCGTATCGTATCGTATCGTATCGTATCGTATCGTATCGTATCGTATCGTATCGTATCGTATCGTATAGTATCGATATGAGTATCGTATCGTATAGTATCGATATGCTTGTCCCAGTTGAGACAGTAAGTTCAACTGGGACAAGCATATCGATACTATCAAGACCAAGGCTAATCGAGCCCTTGGACTTATTAAGTATTCTAAGAAATATCTTCCATCTGACATCCTCAACAAAATGTATAGAGGAATTGTTGAGCCCCATTTGAGCTACTGTTGTTCCGTTTGGGGCTGCTGTAATGAATCAAAGCTTGATGTGTTGCAAAAAATCCAAAATAGAGCTGCCAGAATTGTAACTAGCAGCCCATACGATGCGTCTGCTGCTCCGATAATTCAGAATCTTGGCTGGTTAACCATCAGAAATCTTGTAAGAAAGGAGACAACTTACAAATCTCTAAATATGCTTGCACCAGACTACTTGAGAAAATTATTCGAAAAATGTTCGGATGATAGAGAACGGTTTCTGCGTTCATCAGAAACTGATCTTAAGATACCGCTGCTAAAAACAATAAATGGCCGATAGGCTTTTTCTTATCGCGGTCCAAAACTGTGGAATAATCTAGAAAGGTCTACCAAATTGGCCCCCTCCCTGAAAACCTTCAAAGAACAACTAAAGTCGGGGACAACTTTTATTTCATCTTTACGTTCACTTTTTATAGCTTTAGTATTATTAAATATTGTAAATTAGGTTTGATTGGTAAATTTCTTTTGTTACTAGTATTTTAACATAGTTATTAGCTCTTATTTTAATCTTTTAAACAGGTCAGGTTGAAAAACATATGTATGAACCTTTAACCTGTATAAATATTATAAAATGAAATAAAAATGAAAATAAATCAAAGAGATTTCCCCGTTTATGAAATTTCGTACCGTTGTGAAGCTCGGTGTGAAGGACGCACTAGGCAGTGATTAGCCGAAAATATATTAACCGAAAAGAGAACAGCCACGGCATTTGCAAAACCAAAATGCCATCAAATGTGATTCGGCAATTGGTCAACATTTAGTCACAAATCTAGAATGTGCCAAAACATAAAGTGATGAAAATTTTATCGGGCAAGCAAGGTCGTCTTTTATTTTAGGAGTTTTTGAATCTGTTTAGATCAAAACAAAGGATCCCGATTTATTTTGACAGAAAGCTTGCTTGCTCTCTTGGACTCTTCATCTATGCGAATTGCTAGTGGCTGCTGGTTGGTCAAATACACGGGACCAAAAACACACACCATTTTCCATTCCATGCTACGTTTAATCCGCATTTGAATATAGATTTCAGTTACTGTTAGGCATGCCCCAGTGTTTATACTCCGTGGAGCGTCTTTACTACTTTTGTAATTCTTTAGTACTAATGGCTTTAAACTCCAAATGCTTATAGTTATTGACTCACTCACAATTTTTTTCATTTATTTCACCCTTGTTTACGTTGTTCTCTGCTTTCTCTTCCCCACCATCGAAGAGTCTGCGTATCAATTTTTCAATTGCTTGTATTTTCTGTCATCTATTTACTGATTTTGTTCTTTCCATTTGTACCGTTATAACAAGTAATCAATACTGTGTAACCAGATGTATCCCTATCTGGCTAATATAAATACGAACTTATGACGCCATTTTGCCAATGCCTCTTTGCAGATGGGCGCGGATTGCGACTGAACACCTCCTCAGGGGCACTCCGCCGCCTCCTTCAAGAAGATATGGCCACACCATGGTCGCCCATGATCGCCACCTCTATGTTTTCGGTGGAGCTGCGGACAACACGCTACCCAGTGATTTATTCTGGTAATCCATATTAATCGCTTATTTAGGATATAGCCTGTTAATACCAAGCGTTTTTCATCGTTATTAAAGAAGTGAAGGAGCATTGTACTTTTTCTATCCCTAATTTGTTCATGCCGAACTTTGCTTCTGGCACTCCTTTGTATCCATTTTGTTTTAAGTCTTAGCATTGTACCCTTTTCTTTTAAAAAAATAAATTCTATGCATGGTTTAGCTAAGATTTGGGACAGTTGAAGTATGTTATCCATATTCTCGGAATGAAATCTCCGAAGAGTTGCCAGAATTTGGCCCGTAAAATATGGAAACAAGAATTCCTTAATTTGATAATATATCTTGTAAAAGTGGAAGATCGTTCCTTTTCTTTTCACGGTGTCACCGCCAGATTTTACGAATCATATTGTGTATGACAGGATACCTGAAACAAAACTTAAAGCCCTGTTTTGGACATTCTGTACATTATAATCCATTTTGCTTCTCCAACGTATCAACGCTGCTGGGTATTTGCTGCTTAAGACTTACGTCGTTATTTTTCTATTTTATTATATTACGTCATTCTCGTGGTGGTTCGATGCATCGTTCGATTTTTTTGCTATTTATTTATCTTTTTTAAACAAACCATTAAATATTGATGATTCTTTGTTGTATTGGGCACATTAACAGAAATCGAGGCTTTATGTTTACTTTTTTCATGCAGGTATGATCTTGAAACTCAAACATGGGATATTATCCAACCCACTTCGGACAGCCAGGTACTGCTTTCCAGTTAACAAATGGCAGGAACATTAGCTGTTCTTCAGCTAGAACGATTATTCACTTTCTGAATCAATTAAGAAAAGTCAGCTGCTAAGAATATTTTCTTTTGTCGATGATAGTAAAGATCCAGACAGATAGCGCTCATGTTGTAGAATCGTCATTTAAAGAACACCTGTGAGGCCAGGGAGATATCCATTATAGGGAGATGTCCATTATTGAGAAATGTCAATCATAGGTAGATGTTCATTATAGAGAGATGGCCATTACAGGGAGATGTCCATTGCTAGGGATGTCTTTTATAGGGAGTTGTCCAATGTAGGGAGGTGTCCAATATAGTGAGAGATGTTCATTATAAAGAGATATTTCCAGTATAGGAAGGTGCCCGTAATATTTAGTTGTCCATTCTAGAACTGTCGAGGCCTATCATTTCTCGACCACAGATATTGCACGATACAGTACTCTAACTTGCCATTGAAAGTTATTTGCCTTGACAAGAAAGCATATGATTGGGGAGATAAAACATTCGTCTCGTATTTTCACTGAATAGAGAATCTAGGGTTGAATAGATAGATTCAAAGAATAATTGTTCTCCAAACATACAACAAAACACAATTCCCAAATAGTTTTAGTCACAGATCAGGAGAGAAACTCGCATTTTTATGATGCATTTGGTGTCTCTGGAAACTACTTGAAAAAAATTAACCTTAGCAGATAAATTGAAGTCAGCCGTACATAAGACTGAATTGTTTGAAACTGTTAGATAAGCTTAATGTATCGCTATGAAGAGTGATTTTATGGCTGGTGCCCCTCCCTGTGTAAGTAGGATGTTGACTGTCTTGTCACAATATTTGATTTGAATAAACTCTTATTTTTTATCAGAAAAAAAATTGCTCTTGCAGATTCCAAGTGGACGCCTTTTTCATGATGCTGACGTCATCGGCAATAAAATGTACATTTTCGGTGGCACCGTGGACAACAACATACGCAGCGGCGAGTTGTACCAGTTTATTTTCTCAAGTTACCCAAGATGCACCTTGAATGACGATTATGGCCGGCTTCTTGAGAGTGGACAGTTTTGCGACACTGAATTTGTTTTTGATGGAAAGGTACGCATGTTCCGTAAGATGTTTGTCAATAATTCACTGCTAAAAATGTTTTGATTCATTGAAATCTAATGGCCATCGGGAACTCGGCATCTGGAAAAATTGCAAAAGCATTCTCAGTCTAAGATGTTATTGTTTTTGCCTGAGACTAAAAGGTTTCCAATGCACCAGCTGCTATTTCTAGGGAACATCTTGTCTCCGAAGTTTCTTAATGTACTTGACTTGTTAACTAATTAACTAATGGATCAAAAATAGGTGGCTCACCAAGACAAAATTGTATTTCGAGACTTATTTGGAGTTATTGAAAATAATTGTAACTGAAATTGGTTTTTATGGCATAAAGTATACGCCGTGCTGAAATTCATTTTTCTTCAGTTTAATTTTAACTGCTTTCGAGACAAAGTTTCTGTTTACTAGATTTGAATTTCTGCCAATCGCTATTAGAATGATGCCCATCCTTTCAGAGTTCGAAAGAAACCTGAAAAATTTCTTCATTGGTATTAATAACTCACAGCATGATTTATTTTCCTCTCCAAGATTTATTGTTAATTTTTTCTGCTAGTAAGTATTACTAAATCCAAGTATTGGTTGCTTGTAATCGATTTTGGAGCTTTTTACGAGCGTCTTTGATATCATATGAATTCCTACTCTTTATTAAGAGGCATTGCAAAGGTAAGCTAAATAACTGACCATGACATCACATCTCTCTTTTAGAGCCCTATCAAAGCGCATGCCACCATTGTTGCTGCCCGCTCCCCTTATCTCAGGCAGAAGTTATTGGCCTTGAAGAAGGGGCAAGAGGAAGATCAGGTGATTTATGATTAGTGAATTGTGATAAGTGATCAGTGATTTGTGATTGCTGATTAAGTACTTATACGATTAATGATCAGTACATATCACTGGTATTGTATCAACATACTGATAAAGATTTTCATTTTCGCAAAGAACTTCTTCATATCTCGCTTAAAGCTGGATTTTAGTTTGTTTCTGGAGATGTTTAAGATTTCAACTCGATGTCAGAGGTCAACTTAAATAAAGTTGACAGAGTTGTGCCATTTTGACATTTTTACCCAAGGATTTCACGGAAAGTGACAATTTTGTTTTAGGCCCATTTCCATTGAGGTTCTGCAGCAAAGCTTTAAATTACTTCAGATGCGGTATTGTTGTGGGAAAGGACAATGGCTAAACATTACCACGATTTTGATCTCTTGTTTTAGGCGTCACAACCAGACCAAGATGCTCTTCGAAGTTTTCGGGTTGACATTGGAAGCATTGATATCTTGTCATTCAAAGTGGTTCTCTGGTTCATGTACACCGACCAGATTTACCCTCTTATCAAAGGTGACGAAGAAAGGGACTTGTTTCGCTCTTATTTTTTATTTTGAATACAGTGTTTTCTAATAAGCCTTGTTCATTACAATTAGATAGCTGCTTGTTTGCATGCCCTAAAAGTTGATCGATCTTTTCCTCTTCAATGACCAGTATAATTCAATTTTTGTATAATTCAATCTTATTTTTGGTGCAGATGAGCATGGGAATGCAACTGATGTTATGAGATTGATGATGGATGTCTACAGCCTCGCGCTTAAGGTATTTACCTCTCTCTAATCATTCAAATCAATCATTCTTCTAGTCGTATTTGATTCTGCACGTGCTGAGGCTAAAACTGTGCTCTAAGCTTGAATGACAACTTGTTCCATTACACTGAATTTAATGAAACTCTTTGAAGCAACTGTTCCACTGTCTGGTCCGTTTTTACACTGCTCATGTTAGCACATGTGATGTGACTGACTTTCTATATTTGGTAATTTTTTCGCATCCGCTTAATGATTAGTCTTTGTTCATTCATTCATTCATTCATTTATTAATTCATTCGCTCGTTCATTGATTCCTTGATTCATTTATTCATTTATTCATTCATTTATTCATTCATTTATTTATTCATAAATTTATTCATTAATTTATTCATTCATTTATTCATTCATTCATTCATTCATTCATTCATTCATTCATTCATTCATTCATTCATTCATTCATTCATTCAGTCATGCCACATTCAAAGTGCGCAATCTGATGCCGTGGGCTATTGGGAAGTGTTATGCACTTCTACAAAAAGCTAAAAAAACACCTGGCACTGAGAACGATTGGCCAGCCTACAACAGAAATTGCAATTTAGTTAGAAAGATGCAAACGAAAAATAGCATGAAATATAACCAAGATCAAATGTAAGAGCATGCAGATAATTCAACGCGTTTTTTCAGAACAAACAGAAAAGTGTTTTTCATCTACTGAAATTTAGAGCTGCAATACATTTTTGCGGTGCAAAATTTTAATTGTGAATGTTTCTCTAATTATAAATCACTAATATTTTTGCCGAAAAAATGAGTTAAAATCACGGATAACAAACAATTTGCTGGGCTGTTCTGACCATTCTTCTCAAAAAGCCGTCAAACTGCAGAAAACTACACATGTCGCTAACATCGTTGATTTGTAATCAAGGCATCTGAAAAGAAACAACGCAATAGTCAAAGAAGTCAATCGACGCGCAGAACCTGTTTTTCTCTTTCAAGCAGATTTCACCAAGGACTGTCTTGAACATCATTGTTAACGGCATTGAAGGCAGATGGGTTTGATAATATTCCAACACTTATCATCAAGAATCGCAAAGATGCAAAAGCTTAACCTTAAGCATTTGTAAAAAGAATAACATTTCTCATCGATATGATTAGTAAGATAACCAGCGTTATGCTTGCAGTACCGAACTGGCTTCAGGAAGAAACACTGAACAATCCGAGCAGTTTCTTATCACACAAACTTTATTAGAAATCAAACGGAAAGATTGACCTTACAGGAAAGCTCGATGTAGATTAAAATAAGCATTTGACTCGGTAAAAGCATTAAGATAACATTTTAGTGGAAAAAATGTAAATTTTCAGCCTTCTAAGTGTCAGCTTTCTATCCCATTACTGGTCTTAGAATGATAACAGCTTTTAATTAAGCCGAACCTCGTGATCTGTGCATGTACCCTTTTGCACTTAACATACCAAATGCAGGCCTGTTTGTATCAGCCAATGAATTGGCTACCGTTCCGTCAGATCTTTAGACTGCAAGCAGTTGTCCTAATGCACAAAGCCAGCCATGAAGTCTGCCCTCAGGACCTATCAGACTTGCAGGCATCGCCGAGAAACATACTCACAGAATACGATCAGTATCAATGACGCCATGTTTATTTAAAAGGGAAATAGATGCTTGCTATCAATAAAGTACATTATTAAATAGAGTATTCTTGATAATAAATATGCGCATAACAGTACCAGCACGTGGTACTCGCTGCCATTTGCAATAAAAGTTCTTTTTTCTTCAAATATTTTTCAAAACTCTTGCAAAAAGCTTTCTTTTCTGGACAAAATCAAAATTCACGCTTTTAACTATAGGTGGATTTTGTGTTGATTATCGAAATTTTTATTCTTTTTGCATTAGAACTTTTTTAAGTACCAGGCTAGAAAAGAGTTTTTAAAGATTTAATACATTAATTACCCATACACACGTATAAATGATATTATAACATTGTTGGCATTCGAAGCAAACGCATCTTGAGACGGTACATTATTCGACACGATATTAAATGAACTTTTTTTATCTTTTTTAACGTACTTTTAACATCAATCACAACTTTATAAATCGTTTTGTTTTGCGTTTCTCTTAATTTATCGTGAAATTTGAAAAGCCTGTCCGTTTCAGTTTGAACTGGTTCGCCTTGAAACGCTTTGCACGCAATACATTGAAGCCTCGATTACGACAGAAAACGTTCTTGTCGCTCTGGAATGTGCTCAAGAGCTTGGACTAGAGTTCATCAAGGTTTGCTTCTAATTTTTCTTGACTAACCACTTCCTCTTTTCAATTCTAAGAATTTTTATCAAAGTGGAACTCACTGTGGCTGTCTTGACAGCTAAAGCAGTGCTCATTCATCGATTTTGATCTTTCTTTAGATAAAGCTAATTTTCTTTTTTGCACATTTTTCAATTAGCCAAGACTGAAAAGAAAATTTCAAATCAAACAATTTTTGCTCGATACTTCATTAATGTTTGCTAAGCGTTATGATATTTCTGTACAAAGTAATTCACGCATTGCGTTCTGTTTAAAGAAGACATTCTGCCTTCGTCAATTAAAGATAATGTTTACTTCACTCCTACGGTTTGTTTGCTTGGATTCTTGCTCCTTGAATCTTCAACTTAGTAAGTTTTTTGCTGCAAAATTTAACGATGGCACGAACTATTGCATTGCATGAACTTAAGCATTGCATGATTAAGCACTTTTCGTCCGATTCGTCCGAGACCAAAAGTAAGCAGAGAAATTATTTTCAGGTGTTGATCGAAAGCAACGTGAGAGGAAGAAAGACGCGTTTGATTGGTTCTTTTATTTTGTACCAATCAGCGACCGCTCACCTCTACCTTGTTGAAAGTCAAATAGAGAAAACGAATTCTCTACACAAGTCGATCCACACCTGGATATAAATTCCATGCTTAAATTCTGTCATTACCCGGCATTTATACTCTGAAAGTTGGCGGACGTAGAGTGCTTTAGTATGCTATATTTTCGCTCTCGAGCCTTGTGTCGTGGTTAGCCATGTAGTCGAAACAAGTTGAAATTTGAGTTATATTTTTTGTATCTCGATGAAATGCGCTATGACTTCAAAGCAGTTAAATATCGTTGTTTAATTCTCATTGAAAGAGTAAGATTTTTGTCAATTCCTAGGAGTATTGTATGAGATTCATTGTGCGTGAGGTTAACTTCAACGTCATAATCATGAGTAGTGAATTCGAGGCTCTTTCAAAGACGCTCATGGTCGAAATTATCAGAAGGAGGCAGCTGCAGCTGGTAGGTGCCACGCTTTCATTCAAATCTCAACCCAACAAGTGTATTTGAATTTTCCTGTCTCATTCATTCATATTTTGTGCGTCATTGACCTAATGGCAATTAGAGCATATTCGACTTTCGCTGTTATATTTCTTTTCATTTGAATTTGGCATTTCAGCGCATCTCAAGATGGCATCGACTGTTTAAATGTCAAGCACGTTATTCTAAATTTATCTGAAAATCCTTTGTCGTTCTAGTCTGCAGCTAAAAATACCCACTGTTGTTATGGCGCTTCTCCGAGCTTTAATTTCTTTACATCGCCTCATTTATTAATGTCTTTCACAGCAATACCCGCTGCCTGAACCACAGACCCCTCCTGCTTCAAAAGGTGACGAATTTCAACATTTTTTATTTCTATTTAGCAAAACTATTTTATCACTTTTCTTTGTCTCCGTGACTGCATTATCTCTGTTTATCTCTGTTTACAAAATACGTCTCAACTCCTAAGCCACGTCTTGCAAGCTGATTAGTGGTCAAAAACTTTTGTAATTTATTTCAAAAAGTAATGGATTTTTAATAACTATACTTTTAATTGCATTAGCCTTGAGTGCAAATCTTTAGCCATCATGAATTCTTTATTACAGATTTAATCAGAGAGTGATTTTGGTTAAAATGGATTCAGTATTAATTGCGATTTATCTTGGATTTGATTGGCTGTTCTTCAAATAATGTGGCCAATAGCATCGCTGTTTTCTTTCAAATGATATGTACAGGCCGAGTGTGTACCTCGGCGAGTTTTGTATTCAAATTAAAAACTATTTGATCTATACGTGACCAGTATAGCAGAACCTGCCATTAGACTTCCTCATCCCCAAAATGACTTTCATTTCCGAATTCTTTCTAAACTTCCAGCCGATAACTACAGTAGATTATTGTGCACTTTAAATATCACTCCTTTTGCCCCCTGCAAACAATGTCGTCTATATATTGTTTACTACTGAAGTGTCACCTGGTTGATTCCTGCTAGGCTGCTACGATAGTTTACTGTAAAAGCAATTTTGTTTAGGGGAGACAGGGGTGCTGTATGCGTTCAATTTAGCTTCATTTACAGGACATTGCAGTATCATTTGACAATGTTTATAGACCAGATCCGAAGTAAGACAATCCAACCTTTTTCTTTAGTCCCAACATTATTGGATGACATGAACTCGCTGCTGCGCGGTGAAGTTGCTGCGGAGTTCCAGGATGTAGAACTTTTGCTGAACGAGAATCCAATCAAAGCTCATAAGGTGAAGAAGCAGTCATTGACCGGCTAACCGTTTCAGTTATTGACCAGCTAACTGTTTCAGTCATTGATAGGCTAACCATTTAAGTTATTGACTGGCTAACCGTTTCAGTCATTGACCAGCTAACCGATAAGTTATTGACCAGCTAACTATTTCAGCCATTGACCGGCTAACCGTTTCAGTCATTGACCAACTAACCATTTATGTTCTTGACCAGCTAACTATTTCAGCCATTGACCGGCTAACCGTTTCAGTCATTAACCGTTTCAGTCATTGACCAACTAATCATTTAAGTTATTGACCAGCTGACTGTTTCAGTTATTGACTGGCTAACCGTTTCAGTCATTGACCAACTAACCATTTAAGTTATTGACCGACTAACCGTTTCAGTCATTGACCAGCTAACCGATAAGTTATTGACCAGCTAACTATTTCAGCCATTGACCGGCTAACCGTTTCAGTCATTGACCAACCAACTAATCATTTAAGTTATTGACCAGCTGACTGTTTCAGTTATTGGCCGGCTAGCTATTTCAGTTTTTTACCAGCTAACCGTTTTAGCCATTGCTGTGTTAACTGTTTAAGTTATTGACCAGCTAACTATTTCAGCCATTGACTGGCTAACCGTTTCAGTCATTAACCGTTTCAGTCATTGACCAACTAATCATTTAAGTTATTGACCAGCTGACTGTTTCAGTTATTGACTGGCTAACCGTTTCAGTCATTGACCAACTAACCATTTAAGTTATTGACCGACTAACCGTTTCAGTCATTGACCAGCTAACCGATAAGTTATTGACCAGCTAACTATTTCAGCCATTGACCGGCTAACCGTTTCAGTCATTGACCAACTAACCATTTATGTTCTTGACCAGCTAACTATTTCAGCCATTGACCGGCTAACCGTTTCAGTCATTAACCGTTTCAGTCATTGACCAACTAATCATTTAAGTTATTGACCAGCTGACTGTTTCAGTTATTGACTGGCTAACCGTTTCAGTCATTGACCAACTAACCATTTAAGTTATTGACCGACTAACCGTTTAAGTTCTTGACCAGCTAACCGATTAAGTTATTGATCAGCTAACTATTTCAGCCATTGACTGGCTAACCGTTTCAGTCATTAACCGTTTCAGTCATTGACCAACTAATCATTTAAGTTATTGACCAGCTGACTGTTTCAGTTATTGGCCGGCTAGCTATTTCAGTTTTTTACCAGCTAACCGTTTTAGCCATTGCTGTGTTAACTGTTTAAGTTATTGACCAGCTAACTATTTCAGCCATTGACTGGCTAACCGTTTCAGTCATTAACCGTTTCAGTCATTGACCAACTAATCATTTAAGTTATTGACCAGCTGACTGTTTCAGTTATTGGCCGGCTAGCTATTTCAGTTTTTTACCAGCTAACCGTTTAAGCCATTGCTGTGTTAACCGTTTAAGTTATTGACCAGCTGACTGTTTCAGTGATTGACAGGCTAACCATTTCAGTTTTTGACCCTCTTATTGTTTTGGCTTTTGAGCCAACCGGCTAATTGTTTCTGTTATTGACCGGATGAACATTTCGGCCATTGCTGCGTTAACTCTCACCTTATTTACTCGGCCGTATTTTTTGTCTACGTTTCATGCATTGTTACCCCCTGTTCATGAAAATGACGGAAAAACAACCGTTTTTGGATCTGACTCTTCAGATTACTTCATTTGTTTGAATCGAATTCAGAAAGCCCCAAACTTATGCGTTTTTTGTCAGATATGTTTGGCCGTAGAACATACATCTTTCTGTCGTGCGCTTTGTCTGTTTTTTTTGTACAAAATCTGAGCAGTGTAAACAGGGCCTAAGCTCGCCACCTGGCTTTTTATGTTCATTTCATGCATTTTTCGCAACGGAGTTTTATCTTAGACAACATAGTGCAAAAATGTTTTTTATGCGCGCGCATGCTGACGTGATTTACCTGCCCGCGAAAATTGTGTCGTTCTGTCCCGGATGCGATTGATATAAAAATATATGAGAAAACAAACTTTGAATTTTAACCTTACCTCTGCTTTATTTTTATGGAGTCAAATAGATAAATTATCTACTTAAGATACATTTATATCATTAAATTATGGCTTTAAAACCTTATTAATCTCTTCGTGGCCTATGCTTTACTGCCAAACTAAAGTATCCTATGCCTAGGCCTACTATTAGGCAAGAAGGGAAATATGAACAATTTAAAAAGTAAATTTTCAAGCGTTACCCAATTTTCCGCCTCTGAAGGAGACAATATACAAAAAAATTGAACTTTTGACTACAAGTATACAAAAATTCAGGATGCGGCATGGTGGAAATTTTTCACGATCGTTAATTCAAATATCGAACAAAACTTCCCATGTTGACCTTTCAAAATTTCGCTTTTGTTTGGTTTCCTACTCTTATAGAAAAATACCGAAGCGATTTCAAAATCGCGTTAAAAACAGCTACTTACATTCGTGACCAATCTATTTTAATGAAAAACTTCCATGAATATACCGCATATCCCAAAAAGTATGGCGGTTTTAAATCATCATTCAATCGCACCCATAAATTGACAATCCTAAAGTTAGGTATCTTTGCGGTGAAATTATGAACGTGACCCAATTTTCCAAATATGCCAACCAATATAATCTTATTTTTCGGGGCATGAAGATGAATCAATAAAAAAATCAGCGTGCGGCATGGTGCCGTTTTTGAGATAAAATAAATTTGAATTTTGAACTTTTTCTCCGTGGAACTGACAATATTTTAGGCATACTCACATGGTAAAATTTTGTATATAAAATGAGCCGATCAGGCTTTAAGTTCACTCCGCCATGCTCAGGTCTTTTGTGGTTGTGGTGACACAAAACCCTATAACATTGCACCTCCCAGGAGGCCTGGATCGGAATCAAAGTGTCACATGGTCGGTTGGCGGGAAAAATTTTGCGCGTCGCCATTTGGCCGCAGCTTGCAGGCGCAAAAGCTCTTTGCACAGCGGCTGCAAACATTTTTGCTCTATGTTATCTTAGACAACTTTAAGCATTTAAGATTTTTTTCACTTTTTGCATAGAAAACAAGTTCTGTCTTTTGCCTTTAAAGAATCGAGTTGTATTGCAAGGTTACCTTCGTAAAAAATATGATATTAAAATGTACTTTTTATTTTCGATTCAGGCAGTGCTCGCAGCGAGAAGTGGGTAAGTTAGATTAATGGTCGTATTATCCTAAATTATGCTATATTGTGCTAAATTATGCTAAATAAGTCATGTTTATTTCAAAAGGTTTTTCGATCGAGTAGAGATTTAGAAAGGATAAAATAAGCTTTCTTTAGAGTTAGTGAGTTTCTTGCCTTCATTTTTTATTTTACATCAAACATCTGAAATATTCCATAACTGGTAAAGCAAACTGTGAAATATCAATGAGAACAATCTTCTCTTGTACCCTAAAAAATCTCTTATCAGAGCATACTTGACAATCAATATTTCTTTTAGATATTTCGAAGCAATGTTTCGCTCGTTCAGTCCACAAAACAACAGAGTCAATGTAAGTGTCTAGCGGCGTCGATCGCTTCGGATCATAAATATGTGTTTTATACTCAGAGAAACCTCGGATGAAAAGTTCATTAATTAATGTTATCTAGAAATTTTTAAAGGCTTCTTGAATACTCTATTACCCCCATATCAATATACCGGTGTCCATTTGGTCAGATCGAGAGGAACTTAAGCAAACTTTTTAGTTTTTTCTCTTCTGATTAAAGACAAACCAACGACTTTATCAGCGTTACTTGTTCAAGTTAATATAAACATCTATTTCAATGTATTCATCTCGTTTATAATTCGCTTTTTCTTTCAACGTACAATTTCATTCTAAACTTGTTTTATTGTCTGATATTATATGATACGCAGTTAAAAGACCTATATATAGGTTTTTAAGATGAAATACGTGGTCTGCAAGGGAAACATTTTTAACACGATTGGCAGCACCACCACTTTTACGTATTAATGCAGCAATCTACTTGGCTTCACTAACCTCCCTTTCTCTAACCCCATGCTCTCCTTCCAGGTTTCTATTGGCGATATGGTCCCATCTCCGCAGTCATTTAATTCGCTTCTTCGGTACATTTATACTGGCGATGTTTCGATGCCCCCAGAGGATTCCCTTTATCTGTTTTCTGCCCCTTTTTACTACGCATTCACCAATAGCAGACTGCAGGTAAGTGGTCTTTCAACGACACCATACGAACCCCATCATCTCAATTAATTTCTACCTGAAGGCTTTTTGAACTTAAGGAAAGTTGTTGAAGCATCGGCATTTTCACGCAACCAAACAATTTTGCTTAATTTTTAGAAGCTCTTTACCTTCATGACATTTCCTTGCCTTCTCAAATAGTTATCAAAATTATTTGTATCAAAAATTGTTGCCAATATTATGCTTTATTGAAATTGGATTCTGTTGAAAATACAGTGGAATCCCGAAGAACGAACCCCGGCTATATCGTACTTCCCGATATAACGACCCCCGGGTATATCGTACTTCCGATATAACGAACCCCGGGTATATCGTACTTCCCGATATAACGAACCCCGGGTATATCGTACTTCCCGATATAACGAACCCCGGGTATACTGTACTTCCCGATATAACGAACCCCGGGTATATTGTACTTCCCGATATAACGAACCCCGGGTATATTGTACTTCCCGATATAACGAACCCCGGGTATATTGTACTTCCCGATATAACGAACCCCGGGTATATTGTACTTCCCGATATAACGAACCCCGGGTATACTGTACTTCCCGATATAACGAACCCCGGGTATACTGTACTTCCCGATATAACGAACCCCGGGTATATCGTACTTCCCGATATAACGAACCACGGGTATATTGTACTTCCCGATATAACGAACCACGGGTATATTGTACTTCCCGATATAACGAACCCCGGGTATATCGTACTTCCCGATATAACGAACCTCGGGTATATCGTACTTCCCGATATAATGAACCCCGGGTATACTGTACTTCCCGATATAACGAACCCCGGGTATATTGTACTTCCCGATATAACGAACCCCGGGTATATTGTACTTCCCGATATAACGAACCCCGGGTATATTGTACTTCCCGATATAACGAACCCCGGGTATACTGTACTTCCCGATATAACGAACCCGGGTATATTGTACTTCCCGATATAACGAACCCCGGGTATACTGTACTTCCCGATATAACGAACCCCGGGTATACTGTACTTCCCGATATAACGAAC